TTTTTTCAGCCATTCTTAAAAAAATTATTATTAATACAAGAACTGTCCTGAAACCAAAGAGAATGGGTTCAGAGTTTTTAGATGGTTGTACAAACCTTTGCTATTAATATTTATAATCTTAAACATACAGGATGTTCAAAATTTCTACGCCAACTTTCTAAAATATTAAATTAATGTTTCTTCGTTTTTTAAATGGAACAGTAACATTCATATTTAGTAAGACAAAAAAAATAAAAAAAAAATTCTTGTTGCAAAAATAATAAATATAGGAATCAGGGAAATCTAACTTTCAGATATTGGCGTTCTGCTTAGTATAAGCAAAATATTTTGTTCTTTGATAACGACTAAAGTGCTAATAAAGCCAGAGAATATTTTTAGATTGGGCATTTAAATTATTCAAGAATTTTGGGGATATAATATCGGGAATTTCGGGATCTCGGTTTTGCAAACCTTAATTCAAACCGAGTACAACCAAATTCAAAATAATTCAAACATTTTTGGTTTATGTAATACTCGGTAGAAGAAACTTCTCAAAATAGCTTTTTAGATTTGACCTAAAAAAGATTTAATGTCTCATAGAGTGTAACTCAAACCGAAGAGCGTTTGGAAGCAGAAAAACATTTAAAAAAATAAAAATCTAAACGTTTAAATCAAAATTACTGCTATGCACAGTGGTTCCCCTTAATTAACTGCGCGGTCATAACTGTTAGATATATCTAGATATAGCTTGACTGACTGTTTTTAATAGGAAATTGATAACAAAATGGCTAAATAAATATATATAAAAAAACTTAATGTAATATGTATTAAAAAAAAAAAAATTGGGCCCAGTTCGTGTGGTTTGCATTTTAAGTTCTAACTATTCGGAAAGGTATACAGATACAGATTATGTTTGCACATGTATTTGAACATGTTTTTTCATATTGAAGAGGTCAAATTTCTTTAAATTGGCTGAAAAAATAAAAGAGAAGGTTGTTTTCGTTTTATAATACAATTTTAGCTGTCATGATATACAGTGTGTCCACGAAATAAATTGACACGAAGAGGAAAAAATAAGTTACTTTTATTTAAAGACAAAAGTCAATCTTAACCACCGGTAAAAGATCCGGCGGCAATTCGCGTCAGCCAGTGGCAATTAATCTATATGCAATATACTTTAAACAAAAGTATTATCAGCCGTTTAATAGGATTTGAAAGGGAAAGTAGTTAAAAGTCTTTAAAGACGTGACCAGCAAAAATGTAAAAATAACTATTTTTGGTAGCAAACAATTATTTAAAAAAAAAAAAAAAAACTAATATTACTTAGGTTTAATTAAGTGCAAAAAAGGAAAAACAGTTCTTTTTACCTTCTTTTCGAACGTCCATTACAGAAAAGGCACAAGCTTTTATCAATTTTAAAATAAAACAAGTAATTTTTTTTTTTTTTTTTTATAAACACATTTTTTCAGCTATTTTAAGTCATTTTGATACCAGTAGCAAAAAATGTGACATTTTAATAAAAAAAAAGCGCTACACTAGGCTTACTTTATTTTGTTATTTATTATGTATCGTTTACAGGGGAATATAAGAAAAGTATTAGCAACAGTTTCATGCAAAACATTTTGAAATTAATATTTCTAAGTAATGACCTATCTGGGAACCACTGTGCTATGCCCTTTTTAGAGAGGCATAGACTGAACTTTTAAGATTCTGATAAGCTATCATTAAATAAAGGATAATACTGAAATTAACAAGGTATATTTCAATCTTCTCTTAAAAAAATAACCTATAATTAAATAAACAACGATTTTATATGAAACCAAAATCAAAAAATTCAATTTTTTTTTTTTTTTTTTTTTTTTTTTTTAATTAGAAAAATAAAATTTTCCCCACTAGAGTTAATTGAGACAACTGGGTACCGAGTACCAGGGCGAGGGCGGAACCACCCCCAGACGCGTACCTGATTGGTCCAGCCCTATCCCCATTGTTAATAATAAAGAGGTAGGGCGGGAGGGTTTCCTATAAATATCAATGTTTTGCAATTTTTGGTCAGTTTTCCGTGTAATTTCAAGTTTAGTGTGTTTCCTCTCGAATTCTCCAAACTTTGAACGATGAACATGCAGGGATTCAACGTTAGTTATACATTTTAATAACTTTTTTTTTTTTTTTTTTTTTTATTTTTCTATTTTTCTTTGTGCCATGTATATTTTAAATAAATTTAATTTTATTATAAGTTAGATCTTAAATTCCGAATTTAAGTAGTAATCAAAAAATTGCTTTAATAAAAAAAAATTTTGGTTTATTTTCTTGTAACAAGATATTAATAATAATATTTCATGATATTTGTCTTTATAATGTTAAAGTATACATGGCAGCAGATTTTTTTTATTTTTTGATATTTTTTTATGTTATTGGATTAATTATTGTACTACTATAAGATATATATTATATAATTCATATATTATATTATATTCATATATTAATATAATATATTATATTAATGATTTTCTACCAAGATATTTATTTTTATACAAAAAATATTAATATATACTTTTTAATAATTAAGTTAATATTCTAAACTTAATTTTAACAGTTGTTTAAAAATAATCATACAGGGTAAGTCCTTAAATAAGTGGAATATTTTTTAGAGCCTGGTAGATCTCGATAAAAAGAAACATGATTATTATATCCTGCTTTTAACCATTTTTCAATAAGTCCAAAATAACCGATAGCTTACTGTGAAAACTTAGAAAAAAATATATTTTTCGCTTAAAATTTTGAGAACCAACACTGGATCTTTTCTGTTTTTTTTTTTCTTGCAAATTTAATCTACTTCTATTTTTTCCAATATTATCAAGAGATTTATTTCTTTAACTAAAAACCTCATAATCGTTGTTTCTGGGGTCCGAAATATACCCTAGCCTAAAAATATTTGCACTTATAAAAGGCTAGCGTTTTCTCGGGACTTCGTCCGCGTAAAATTCGAAGTTTTTTACATTCTTTAATGAATTTAAAACTTACAAAGAAACAAGCATTTCAAATTTCATGTCATTTTACTCTAAACTTAAAAAACGACCTAACAGTTCATTTTAATCTGAGAAAACGTGGTCTAAGCAAGTTCTGTTGTTGACAGAACCATTTTACAAATTTTCGGCCCTAATTTCACCCTCAGTAGGGGATGAATTTTCCAAAAAAATCACTTTTTGAAAACTCACTCTCATCATACTGGGACATCCATGTAAAATTTCAGACTCCTAAGATCGATTTTAAAAAGTTTTATAGTAAATTCAAAAAGTGTTCAATTACACTGCTTAATAAACCTCTGTGCAAAATTTAATACTTTAGAAGGCACTTTTTAACTATTTTTGTTCAAACTTTCGTTCCTAATTTTACCCTCTTAGGGGATGATTTTTTAAAAACAGTTTCTCAGTGCCCACTTTAGTCTGTATGCAGATGTGCATACTCCTAGGATTGATTAAAAAAATACATATATACAAATTTTCACCCCCTTAGAATTTTCGAAAATCGTTTCTTAGCGTTCGATCATTCCCTTGAAGGCCACTTAGTTTTATACTTCTATTTTTTTTTTCTTATATAAAATCTACCCCTGATTTCGCCCCCTTAGAGGTTGAATTTCCGAAAATCCATGTCAATATCAAGAAGTGTCGTAACTTATTTTTGGATATTTTTCGCGAGAGCGACCGATTTAAAGTTTCTTACTATTTGTGTCTTAATGCCAACTAAAATATATTGTAGTCGCTGTATTTCTTTAACAAAAAGAAACACCGTGGCTGCAGTATATTTTGGTTAGTATTGAAACAAATGTGGTAAAAAAACTTTAAACCGCTCGGCTCTCCTGAAAAATATCACAGAATGAGTTAGGCTACTTAGTGATATCCACGACAATATGTACCAAATTTCGATTTCGGTATTCAGAGTTTCATATATACAGGTTGAGTCTGAAATAAGGGCAAATATTTTTAGAAGTGGTATAGAGGGTGTCCCAAGCTGAGCGTGCATTAGAAAATTCTAGAGTTCTAGAGCGTGCATTAGAAAATTCTAGAATTCTGTTTTACAATGAGATCTGTCGATGAAAAATATTTTCAATATGGCGGCACTTCCGGCAATACCGGAAGCTGACAGCGACTTTCCTATTTTAAATGGGCGCCGCCATTTTTTATTACAACTTAAAATTTCTCTTAAAATGTTACTGAATTGTTGATGCTTAACACATCTAACAATAACGGTTTTGTTGATGAAAAAAAAAAATATTTTTTATTTAAAAATTTTTGGACGATAAAAAAGCTAACCTGGTCAAAAAAAATTGGTTATAGCCCAAAACGCAAATTAGTGATTACCACCAGCCACTGTATCTGTGACATACAGAGAAGACATGTAGCTAGCTATTTCAAAAAATTAATTTGGGCTCAAATATCATATATTTAATGGCGGCGCTGTCCATGGAATTGACCGATTTTAAAAATTATCATGAATCATTTTTTTCAATATGGAAATACACTTTTTAATTTCAATTAAGTTTCATTAGTGGGAAATAAAAAATGGGTTTTCCATTTGAAAAAAAAAATGATTTATGATAATTTTTCAATCGCTCAATTCCATGAAAGCTGCGGTTCATTATTATATGAACATTCGAAGAAATTTTAATTTGTTGAGAATAGATAGCCACATGTCTTCTCTTTATGGCACAGTGGCTGTGGTGATCACTAAATTTGACGTTTAGGCTATACACATATTTTTGACAGGCAGATTTTTTCGTCCAAAAATTTTTAAATATTTTTTCTCAAAAACGATTAATGTTAGGTATAGAGTATTTAATATCAAAATTCATAAAGTTTTACAGAGAATTTAAATATTTAATAAATTTGGTGTTGACGTTGTAACACCAAAAGTTCCAAACCCAAATAATAATACTAATAACCTACATACTAAAGCATTGTTTTGCTACTTTTGAAGGTACCTATTTTCATAAATAATAATCCGTGATATGTATTTGCAGGTTAGGAGACCATCATCGTGTCGGTACCATCCGTATAATGGTTCCTATCAATCCTATCAACAGCCTGGTGTGTGCAGTTCCTATCGAACCATGCCCCCCACAATGCAACATCCTCCTCAAGTAAGTAGCAATTTAAATACTACAAAATTTTGTACTTATTTGTTAAAACAAAATATTTCAAAAAAATTGCAAAAAAAAAAAAAAAAAAAAAAAAAAAAATTTTACTTTTAAATTTTATTTCTATTGTGAGAATAATAAAAATATTTTAGGATACACAATAAGATAGTTTAACTTTTTTTATATAAAAAGTATTTCAAGTTAGTACAATTTTCAATGTCTACACAACGTAAGACAATCTCACATTAACACAAAAATCGTAATAATAATAATAAAAAAAAAAAAAATGGTTTTTGTAATAAACATTTTTTTAAAAATATTATTCAAAACTTAGAAATTAGAATAAAATAAAAAAAAATATTTAAAAAATAGGACTACCATGTTCGGAATAATGAAAAAAAATGGTATATGATATGGTACTTTTTCGAAGCAAGAACTCATAATGTAGATTATTTTTTAATTTAAGAACTTTCATTAAACAAATATATTTTTTACAGTCGTACCCAGTACCCAGTACCCAGACTCCTTCTAGCTTCTACTATGGCCCTTCAGGGTCAACTACCAACCTGGCCCCCAGACCATACGCGCAGCAAACTCTTCCTCCACTGGTAAGTTAATATTTTGAATCACGAATGTGTACAACTTTTAATTTTCCAAAAATATCAGTATAAATAATTTTATCTACAACCGTTTAGTTATAACGTTTTTACATCACTATTTTTTTAGTATTTCAATTACGTTATGAGATTCGTAACACAACTAGTGGTGTTATGAATCTATAACAGAACTATTTGCTATAATAATGAAAAACAACTACGAACATCTAAATATATTAACTTTTCCGGCAATAATGATTCCGTGGCACGTACTGCGGCAAGTTCTACATCTGAAGGGAGACTTTCGGAATCGCTCATTCGTATTTTTAAAATGATTTTTCTGGGCGAAAAGTGCTCGCGTTTACTTGACAAGGCAAACTGACTTTTCAGCATAAATGTGACAAATGTCAAAGTTAAAGGTGTTAAAGGAGGTAGGGCGACTATAATAAACGAAGATTATAAAAAACAGCATTTATCTATATTTATATCGGAATAATGTTGATAAAAGAAACGATATGTAAACATAAGAACACGTGCGTTTAAACATGATTACAACACTCGTGTGATTAGAACGACTCGGTCTACGACCTCGTCGTTCTAATCGTTCACACTCGTTGTAATCATGTTCATAAACACACTTGTGCTGTAAATAACTATTTCATTGCATTGTTATTAGGTATACTATAAAAAGAATGAAAATAATATACAGGACGGAAAAATTCACCTAATTTAATTTGTAGTATTATTTTTATATTTACTTATTTTTCTTTTACAGAACTGCCAACTGCCTGTGTATGCTCCCCCTGACCATCCCACCCCAGTCTGCGTTCCACCTCCGGCCCCTGTAAGTCCTTACTTCACATTCTTTAGTTTTGAACAAAATTTTGAAAAATTTAGTTCATATAGTATTTTTTTTAAATTTACTAATTTTTCTTTTACAGAACTGCCAACTGCCTGTGTTTGCTCCCCTTGACTATCCCACCCCAGCCTGCGTTCCACCTCCGGCCCCTGTAAGTCCTTACTTCACACTCTTTAGTTTTGAACAAAATTTTGAGAAATTTAGTTCATATATAGTGTTATTTTTATATTTACATTTATTTTAATTTTACAGATCAAGGGGCAACTTCCAGCACCTACCATCGACGTACCTGCCTATTCCGAGGTACCGCCTCCGGTAGTTGTAAGTATACAGACTCTTTATTTTTTAACCCAGCACTTCAAAACATTCAAAATAAATCAAATTATGTGAAACTTGCTGATAACCAATTATTATTTATATAATATTAATATTAATTATTTTTTTTTTTTTTTTTATGTAAAAATTATAAAATCTGTTTTTTTTTTTTTTTTTTTTTTTTTTTTTTAATTTATTGATAATAGACTTTTGATAGATCAAATTTAAACTTCAAAAACATTATTTTACAGCCTTTATAAAATTTTTCCCCTCGTGGGCATTATTTCTAAGTTCATATATGTTTGATTAATAACCAAAAATTAAGATTATTGTGAGAATAAGCCTTCATGTTGGTTACGGTCTTAGAGGAGTTTACCAGGTCTGGCCCCCCGGGGGAAAGGGGGAGGAGGTGGAGATGATCTTTCGAGCATGGGATGAAGCTGATGCTAGAGAGCCACCAATACCAGCAACGGGCTCTGCCCAGTCTGGTACAATGCCGGGAGTGGTAAGTTCATCTTTTGTCATATTGTATAATATTTATTTTTTTTTTTTTTTTTTTTTTTTAAATATAAATATTAATAACCTAAATAAGATTTTATATTATACGCTCATTTGGTAGCAGGTAGAAGAGGAGTTACCAAGTCTGGCCCCGGAGGAGGTGGAGATGATCTTTCGAGTATGGGATGAAGCTGAAGCTAGAGAGCCACCAATACCAGCAACGGACTCTGCCCAGTCTGGTACAAAGCCGGGAGTGGTAAGTCCAGGTTATTTCATATGTCTATTTTTTGACCTAGCAGCTCAAATTTTCAATATAAAGACAGAGACTTTGATTTGCCATACCAAGTGTACAGGACGGGCCAAATTGGACACGTTTAAAGCGAAACACCTTTTTCAGGCATGGAGGTAGATGAAAAATATTCTGCGTGTTTGGAGCGTCAATTTTGATCAAAAAACATGATGGTAAAACCGCATATCGATATCTGTTTCTGTTTCGGAGTTACGGGTGTTTTTCAAGCAAACGCATTTTTAACAATCGCTGTAAATGTGTATTTTTTAAAAAAAAAAAACAACAAATTAAAAATATATAGGGGACGTCCAAATAAAAAAATTAAAAATTTTCAAAAAAAAAAAAAAAATAATTATTGATTTAAAGGGAAAAGTATACTGGAGGGATCATTAAAAGGTACGTAAACAATAGGTACTTATGGAAATGTTCCATAAAATTACAAATTTTCCATTAAAGTATGTAAAAAAAAAAAATTTTATTGTTTATTTAATTTTTTTTTTTTTTTAATTATTTTTTTTGTTTGTTTAATGAATTAAAAATATTTTATTTATAGTATATTTATTATTGTATACGCTACATACTATATTTCTTATGTTTATTAATTTTAAGAAAATTATACTTATACCATTAAATATTAGGTAAAAAAAAGGCTATGAAAATGTTTTCAAAAAAATACAAAATTTTCCGTATGAAAAAAGATACAGCCAGCGCAGCGGTTTGTTAAAAATGATTATTTTCGAAAAAAAACCAACCTAATTACGGTAACGGTAACAGACTTCGACGGTGCAGTTGTTACCATCATGTTTCTGACAAAAATTGAGCTCCAGACACCGATTTTGTCTATCTTTTCGTCTATCTGTCTCAATAGGGGAAAATGAGTGTTTGGGCTTGTTAAAAAAGTGACCAGTTTGGCCCACCCTGTACATAAAATCTAGAAAAGCCTAGTTGGTGTTTTAAAAACGCATCATCTGATTTGGTTTCGTACAATCGACACAATAATTCTTAATGTTGGTCAATTCCAAAGAATATTATTTTTTAAAACATCTATTTTGTTACAGATCCCAGCTGATATACCGACGTGGTCCCCGGAGGCCATTTTGGGTGAGCTGCCTGTTCTGGACTCAACCGGTGACACCACACGTAAGAACACGAGGGTCAGGTACACTGAGCTGCAGCTTCAACAACTGGAAAGTCGCTTTCAGTTGAACCAGTACCTGACACTCCGGGACAGACAGTCGTTAGCACAATCGGTTGGTGTCTCCGAGTTCCAAATAAAAATTTGGTTCCAGAACAGGAGGGCGAAGGTGAAACAGCAAAACAAGAACAACAATGGTTGAAAAGGTATGATAATTTACAATTTTTTTGGTGCATAATACAGTTTTCAAAAATTACAACAAATGGGAATAATATTATTTCGCGTTAAAGGATAAAAAATTTATTACTCCAGATATGCATGAAAATTGCACAAACTGGTTAATATTTTCCCCATTTGTTGTGAAATTTCTCATATACACGCTCCTGGTAAAACTTTGAAGAATAATTGTATTTCTCTTTGTATTTCTTGTTGCGTTTCCTTTTCCATTCCTTTGCGTTATTTCTTGTTTAAATATTTATTTTTAATACGATATTTTTATCTATCTTTTATTATTGATGTCTTTAAGTTTTTAAGTTATGCGGAGAATATTTTTCATTAATTTTACTATTCGGGCAGTATGTTATTGTGATTCATAGAATAACATAGGTATGTAATATATTTATTTTATTTCAGTGAATTGGTTTTCTGCGGATCTTTTGCTGGGACAAGTTGCGAGGTAAAACCGAGGTACCCTTACCACATTCATTCCTCTTCCTATCCCATTCCTTTAATCCTATGTATCCCATCCTATCCCGGTGGGAATGTTGTCGCCTCTACGTGGTCCCACTAGACATATATTATACAGGGTGAGTCTTAAATATGTGCAAATATTTTCAGGGCTGGTAGATCTCGATAAAAGGAACATATTTTCTCTTTATCGTTTTTCAAATAAGTCCAAAATAACCGAATTATGTTACTTCGAAAATTTCAAAAAATAAACATTTTTTCCTTTAATTGGTATATTATCAAGAAATGATGTTTTTTAACTAAAAATTAAAAAAAAATCAAATTTTTTTTCAAAAAATTTCAAATCTAAAAAAATTCACGAAAAAAAGCAGAATCGTATTTCTGGGATCGAAATATACTACCCCTAAACATATTTGCACTTATTTAAGACTCACCCTGTATATATATATATGACCGAATGACAACTCTTTCCTTTAATCCCAAATATATTTGAAACTTTTTGAAGAAACTTTAAAATAAAGTTTCAAATAAAAAAATTATTTGAAACTTTCTCAAGCAAATTGTGCATTTTGAATCATTTACATACACGAATTGTTTTTTGAGTTATGAGAAACCAAAGAATACTAAATTAAGTTAAATTTAAAATAATCCTGTCCTGTTCAAATGAAGATTACAATCCCAAATTATGTCACAATATCGGAAAATTTACTATAATTTTCTTCTACAGAGATGTGTCAAAAATATCCCAAGTTATATTCTCTATAACAAATTACCAAAAAGTACACTGTAAACATAATAGAATCTTTAAAAAATTAAATATAGTTTGTAGACAAGTAAACACACTACTCTATGAAAATTTATTTATTTACTTAATAAGTAACTTAACAAGTACTTAATTTTGTGAATTGTTTAGTGTTAAACAATTCACAAAATTAAATACTTGTTAATTATAAATATATAATTAATTTTGAATTTTACTATAAAAATAAAAATAAAATTGAAAAAATAGTTTTTTTTTTGAAAATCTCGAAAACAGTTTGAGTTAAAGAGCTAAAAATTTAGGTGAATTATTTTGATTCGACACCAAATCGATCCCCTGAGTGCGAGTCAAAAAAGCCGGGGTGGGGGGGGGGGCAGATTTCCCATATTAATCCGGCTATACCCTTTTAAAAAAATAATTTTATTTATATTTATTTCATCCTTTCTCGGGGATGAATTAAAAAAAAATCTTTCATAACACTGTTCTTTTTTAATAGAGGGCAATGTTTTTTAAGTAAAGTACCGTCGTGCTGTGGTGGGGTTTTGTGGTGTGTGATGGTGTTGTCAGGAGGTTTGTTGGGTGTTGGGATTGATGTTGGAGGTCGTGAGGTTTGTGGTTGTGGGGGGCATTGTTTTGGGTGTTATGGTTGTTGTGGTGTTGTGGTGAGTTTTGTTTGTGCTTGTGTGTGTTGCGGTGGTGTTTGTTGGGTCGGGTTGAGTGGGTTTATTGTATGTGGGGTTGTAGCTTTGTGTGGTTGTGGTTGGAAGGATATGATTGAGATGGGATAGTATGCGAAGGTAGGAATCGGCCATCATCGTCGGTTAGTTAGTAGGGCCTGGCTGTGAGTTAGACACGGTGGGAGTCGAAGGGGGAATTAGTAGCCTACTTTGGAGTTCTTCGGTGCTTGGTTGATGATGGGGCATAGGTGGTGGAGGTGGTGGAGTTAGATGCCGTAGGGACCCTATTTTAGAAGAGTAAACCGCGTTTACCCGACCCGGTGATGAGATTTCATCTTGGCAGATACCCTAAAGGTGGTGAATCGTGCTTGGGGATCGGAAGGCTCGAATAATTGTCTGTAGAGTTATCGAGCGGGAAGTCGGAGAGTATAGGATCATCGTCTGGTGATCTTATGTGTATGGGTGCTAGAGGCATGGGGCCATGCGGGGGGTGAATGTTGTCCGACTAGTGCCTATATGGGTAGTTTAGTTTGGAATTTAAAAAAAAAACGTGCAAAGATATCGCAATAATTTTTATTTACATGAACGCCTGTACCTTAATCTACTTTTCTACATTAATTTCCG